GTTGACTGACTAGTACAGAAAACTGGTATAGGTTTCCTTTGAAGGCAGAGTGATTTGTTTACACACAATTCCTCATCCTAAAAGGGAAGGGTGAGCACCAGTCAGTGTAAGTGAGCAGGTCCTAATGACAGTTTAGCCTTCCATCTGGGCATATATGATGGGCAAAAATATGTCTCTAATTTAAACCACAACGCTGAAATATGGAGGATCTTACTTTGACAGTGTGCTATTTTAGGGGATATCACCGCCTTTCATGCCTTCCCTCTGGGCCAGTTGTGGAAGGCCTTATTTTAAATACTGCTCTGCCTCTCATCAGTGCTACAACTACAATGAGACCTGTCTGGGTCAGAAATCAACTATGTAACAATAAATGTTATAGGAAGCCACTTCTGATATAGAAGAACAAAGACAATGGCCACCATGTTCAACTACTCTGATTATTGCCTATTCTTTATTAGGCAATTCCAGGAAGTCTAAGTATACCTTGGTTAATTCATGTAGATAATACTGCAATATCTAATTTCTATCTTTTAAAATGGGGTCCAAATCTTTGCTATCTCAATGGTACCTCCTTTCACTTTTAGTATTAGCACAGTTCTGCACGTATCACCACTATCATACTTGGGAGAGAGAGGAAGCAAACACATGTATTATACCTGAACAATATGGCCCTGTCTAGGCAAATGCCGATGCTCCATGCAGGCAGAGAAGATATTCCTACTGTTTAGCACGAACACAAGCCAGGACCATTAATTTTCATTTTAATAAATGTTAGCTCCTGTAAATCTAATGGCTAAAAAATATAGATCTTACTTCTATCAACAAAACAAAACATAGACTCTTTAGAGTCTCTCTCACTAGAGAATTTAGTCTCAGGTTGGCCAATGGCCAGCTGCTGTCAAAATTTCAGTTAAAACTAATAAACTGTCATTTCTGTAGGCTTTCTACATCAAGACAAATTACCAAAAAGCAATATTCTTGGACTACTTTCACTTCCCTCCAGGCAGAAATGCCCTTCCTAAACTATGATTTATGATGCTGCCCAGCTCAAGGGTTAACAGATACTTCTTGATGTAACTTTTGCAAAATTACAATTGATGAGATTAATTATGATATTTAATATCTTGCACATAAAAAAGCTTGCTAAATTCCTCTAAAAATTTTGTGTCGAGAGGCGATGTCTTTCTTTTTTATTTTTCCCATTTTCTGAAAAAGCTGATAGGCTTCTGTGCAGGGCAACAAGAAGCAACTGACAACTTTCACAGCACTCCAAATTAGCCTGAGTGGTAAAGCCATAGCTCATTTTAGGGTTTCTATACAAGAAGCAGGTCCTACTGAAGCAGTGCTTTACACTGGAAAGCCCCTAGGCCTAGGAGTCAGTGAGATTTGGGTTCAAATTCTACTAATGCTACTTAAGAATTTTAGGAAAAGGTATTGATTTTGAAGATATATATGCAGATTTAAAATGAAAACTTGGCAAGGTTATACATACTATAGAGCAGTGAAAAAGTAATTAACAAGTGTCAGCTTACTTTTCCTGGTATGCTCCCAGTCAAGTAATTTACTTTCTCAGCACCATACATACAAAAATTAAGATGCACTGCTAACCCAAAGACAGGGAGTTTGAACCCACCAGGTGGTCTGCAGGAGAAACATGGGCAATCTCCCATTGAAATGTTCAGCCTCTGAAAACTCACTGGAAGGTCAGCTTTGAGTTGGTTATGCTCTGAGAGTATTAACAAAAACTTTCAGGGATGCTCTAAGATCAAATGTGATCATCTCTGTGTAGGTCCTTTCTAATTACAAAATAATATACAAGATTACCTAAAAATTGCATTAAAGAGTAATTCCCCCTAAGAATTGGAGCAGTCTGCTTTTATAAAGTTGATGCCGCTCCAAAGTGCCACTTAGAAGTTCTTAGATTTATGTCAGTATTTGTTTATAAGAAATCTAGTCCACTAAACATTTCCTTAAGATTGATGTTTCATACCAATTTCTAAGTCCTATTTCCAACAAACTAATTGTTACAGAATACTGCTTCTCAAAGATTTGGAGGTTGAGATAGGACAAAAGACCCTGTAAAACACACATATAATTAAATGTTAACAGGAAGGTTACTTAGTATATGACACTAATGAAGGGAAATCTGTTTTTTATTAAATGTCATAAGTTAAGCTACTAATATCTTCCAGAAATGAAAACATATACATTAATAAACAGTAATACTGAAAAGGTCAGCTTATCACCCAGCTGGAAGTTGCTGTAGATCACAAATTCAGAACAAGTGTTGTTGAGGTACAGGAAGCAAGGACTTATGGGTGTGGGGTAATTGGACCCCTTGGAGTTATGTGACCACTCAGCAATTCAACAGCATGGGCAGAAACTATCTTTTTGCCTCTTTCCAATAAATCATCCTGCCACAATTAATTTTTATAAACACAAATATAAAATAGTATGCACACACACATTAGTCCCTATGGCAGCATTGTGAACAGCTCCCCGAAATGCACAAACGGAGAAGTTAAGCAAGCCCTTTATGGTCACTTAGAAGAACTAATAACAAAGTCAGGATTAAATATCATATAGTATTGACTTTATAACTGAGCACTTGGGCTCAGAATCAAATGCCTTGAAAAGTACTAAGTGTCAAAGAGATGTCACAATATTTTAGAACGCTTTAACATATTCCTATTAGAAAAATCACTTTATTATTGGCTAGCAAACACACTAAACTACAGGTGCAATTTCAAGTGATAAATAGAATTTTCCCTTCATTTTAGCAACATTACTGATCCCAGTGATTCTAAAAGACCTTAAGTTGGCTCAAAATTCATTAAATATCCATGTACATAAGTGAACAAAAACAATGTTCTATATAAATGCTACTTTAAAGAGACAAGAATGAGTATGATTTGGCCACCAAGAATAATTACTACAAAGGATAGGGGTCTGAACAGGATCACTAGTAAGTAAAATCAGCTGGACATGGTACCCACTGTGCAAGAGCACAACAGATAGCATGAGAAGAGCACAGGACATGGTAAGGGTTAGACATGTTCACAGGGTCAACATGAGCTGCAGCTGACTCGCTGGCATCTACAAAAATCAGCAGTTGGTCTCCATATACTTCTGTTTTCTCATTCCTCAGAGCTGTTCACCACAACAGACAGATTTTTAGTGGGCGGAAGAAAAGTAGCCAAAAGCAGTGCTCTACTGCTTAGTTCAGAGACTAAAATAAAGCAAGTGTCAACGTTTCTGATTCTATGAGAAATGCAAATTAATCCTTATTTCAAAAGCATAAATGAAAGTTAGACAGCTCCAGAATTACAAAGTCAGTGCTATAAATCAATAATTTTAACATTTGTGATAATTATATTCAATTTAAGTATCTTCTCCCTTTGCAAGAGATTACTCAACTTTATAAGTAATAACAGTACATTTGTTACTGCGTTATTATTTTACCCAATAATGTTACTGTGGAAATTAAATACCACCACATACATAAAGATAAGCATCATATTTGAAACATTGTAATTATTAGTCCACTTATTCAAAAAAAGGTAAACTAAACTTTGCTGCCCCGTGATTCATAGCTGACTTTCAACAGGCTTTTGAAGGCTATAAATAGCATAGAAGAAACTCTCCATGTTTCTCCTGCAGAGAAGCTAGTGGATTTGAACTGCCAAGGAGGCAATGACTTTGATTAGCAGTACAATTTCCTATGGACTACATCACTGGAGCTCCCTTATGTTAAAAGCTAACATAATTCACAAAAAATCACGAGCTCCACCTTAGAGAAGTAAGTAGAATATAGGTCTGAAAAGCTTGTTAGCAGCCATCTAAAATACAATCTCGGTCTCTACTCACCAGAAGTAAAACATTAGGAAGGTAATAAAAAGTAGTAACAAAGCTACATGAGCCACCACTGCATCTTTCCTGAGCCCAGGAAAAACTACAAGGTGTCAAGCTACCAACACCCACTGTTCTGACAGGATTATACTGGTTCGCAGCCAAATGCTATGTAACAATGGCTCCTTCTTACATCATCGGGGTTCCTTAAAGAAATCTTACATGCTCCTAAAGTCAAACCACTTAAAGTAGGTGAAAGATCTGAACAAATATTTCAGATGAGAGTATATCCTATCATAAATAAACATATAAAATGGTGCTTAATATATTCTTTAGGACAGTGCAACAATGAAGGAATGAAAACCCAAAATCCCTGTAAATGTTCATTAAAACTAATAAAATTTAATAATAATAATAAAAAACCAAAAAAATATATTCTTTAGGAAAATAGAAATTAAAAACATTAACACACTCAGTAGGAAGAATAAAAGTTAAAAAGATAGAAAGTATTAAACACTGACAAAGAAGTAGGATACGAACTCATATGCTGGTGGTTGAAAAGCAGGTACATGGTCACTACTATGGATGGCTTTTTTATTCAATCTACAAAAGGTGCAAACTTTGTAGTCATGTCACAAACTGAAATGTCATAAACATTAAAAATGGGAAAAAAACCCAAACAATAAGAATGAATAAATTCATATTTATACAATGGAATTCTATTCAGCAACTGGAATGTATAGTTTGACTACACACAGTTCAGAATAATTTGACTAAATGTGGAACCAAAATTTGACACATACAAAGTATATATCATATAGTGCTATTTCTTAATAGTAGAAAATTAGGCAAAACTAATCCATAGCCTTAAGAATCAGAGTACAGAGATACAGTGACCAGAAGGGAACATGAGGAGACCTCCTGGGTGTAGGGCCCTGGGAATTCTTGTTACATGAGGATATTCACATGATGAAAAATCATCAAGTTGTTCACCTATCAACTTATACACTTACTGTACACATGGAACATTTTAAAAATTAATGAAAATGCTACCATATTTGCCCAAAGGTGACTATTTGAGCATGTGGAAAAGAATAAAAGAAATTTACTCAACATGGACGTTGGACTTCTTGTGTGACGTTGTTACTCACTTTTTTCCTGTAATGCAATTTGTTGCTTATGCAGTAATGCCACTTCTTGTCCCAGAGCTTTCTTCTGTCTCTCCAGTTCATTTCGAAGCACCAAAATTTTTAATTGTAGACATTCACTCTCTTTTTTCTAATAAATAAAATCACAGGTAAATATGTGAACTGAAAAATAATGACAATGAATATAAACAAAAATTCCCAATTTTTCTAAATATATCATGACTGCAGCTCTCTTGAGTACTTAAGTATCGGTCGGTACCACTACAACAAAAGAATATAGAAATAGAAAAATAACTGACATCCAAGCAGATATATGCACACCCATGTTTACTGCAGCTTTGTTCACAATAGCAAGGAGTTGGAAACAACCTAAGTGCCCATCAACAAAGCAATGGATAGAGAAGCTGTGGTATATTCACACAATGGAATACTATGCTGCATTGAAAAACAAGGAACTCATGCAATATTATTCAAAATGGGTGACTCTGGAGGACATTATGCTGAGTGAAATATCCCAGTCACAAAAGGACAAATACTGCATGGTGCCACTGTTGTAGAACAGGACTGACCTTGGGGATGGAGAGAGACTGGGAAAGATGGGTTCAATAATGTATACTGCATTGAAACAGATAAGGGAGAAAACTGTTGAAAAGGGATATGTGATTAGGTATTTTTGTCATGATAGGAGTCTATAGCAAAGGCTACATGGTGGAGTGGACCTGGGGGAGGGAATGTAAAACAAAGAAAGAATTTTTCTTTTACTTTTCCAAGAGGGTAGTGTTCTAGGGGGGGGTAGACTTGGGAGCGGAGAAATGTGCAACAATGAATGAATGGAAATCCAAAGTCTTTGTAAATAATAAATTTAAATTAAAAAAAATTAAGTTAGAGTAAGGAAAGCAATGGATTTATAACTGCTAGTGCTAATAACACTATATCATGGCATGGAGGAGGAATAGTGGAACTGTTTCCACATTTACAATATTCTTCTAACCAAAACCATTTATGGAAAATAGGAACTGCATTGGAACATGTATCTCTGGATTGGAAATGATCATACTGTTAATATTTCTAGCCTTAAAATGAAAAGATTATAATGTTCAAAATTATTTGTTATATATTTGTTTAAATTTTTCCCTCTTTTAACAACTGGGATCTAGAGGGAAGAGAAAAGACCAGAGAATGGCCAAAATTATTGGGGCAGCTATTGCTGCCAGTTTAGGGCCTGTGTTAGGAAAAGGAAGTCTTACTCATATACAGTGCCACCCAAAGGTAATAAAGGAGGTCAGAATGGCTTCCACTGTGGAAAGCTGGGCCACTTCAGTAGACCGTGTCACAGACAAGAGCCACAGATAGGCAAGGGAGTAGAGAGGAAGCTCCCACTCACTTGCTTTACGTGTGGCTCTGAAGGACACATGGCCAAGGGCAACCCACATCAGGTCCTCGTGGCTGACAGGACTGACAGGCCCCAGCTCCCAGCTGGAAACAAAGGAGGACACTTCAACAATTCAGAGCCTCCCAGAAGAGCCACGGGTGAGCATTAACATTACTGGTAAGTATATTCGTTTACTCCTGGACACAGGAGCCTATTATTTGGTCCTAAAAGCCTTCTGAGGTCCCCACTCTTCTCACTATTTCTTAGTTGTTGGAACTGACGGAAAACCTCATAAGCAGTTCCTTACTTCACCTCTGCCTTACATGTGGACTTCCAAGCTGTAAAACAACCCAGTGATAGATGGAATTTGGTCCAGCACTTAAGAACAATAAATGACATAGTTGAGCCTCTACATCTTGTGGTTCCTAACCTTTATACTATAATAGACAAAGTGCTAATCAATAAGCCTTTTATTTTAAGAACTCCCGTCCCTCTGTAACTTGATTTGTGCCACTGTTAGAATCTCTACTTAGAATATTATTGCTTTTAATTTTTGACTCATGCACTTTTAACTTGTTAGTTGAATTTGTATCTTCTAAGCTGCAACAGTTCCATGATACATCTTCAAGGATATGAACATGTACGGCTAAGCACAAGTGATAAGGGTGCATCTAAATTCCAAAATCGATCTCCATAATAGTCTACGTGTTTCCTATTGCCAAAGGGGGCCTTTAGAGTAGTGAGAGAAGATCTTCACCCTGAAACCTACAGTGTCCTTTTTCAGCAGGAAGTCGCTAAGAGAATACACCGTCCCCTTTTCCTTATGACTCAGGGTGAAATCTCTCTCAGGGAGGAGTGATAGGGAATGGCAAAGGACACACTGACAAAGGAGATTAGTCACAACTGGTTTTGACAAGCACTGTGGCAATGGGACAATTAAAACAGACTTTCAAGGGGGAAAAAAGAGAGGAACAAACTGGGGGTTGTGTAGAGAAAATAGTGCAACAATGAATGAACAGAAATCCAAAATCTCTGTATATGTTCATTAAAATTAATAAAATAAAGTTTGCGGGAAAAAGAAATAGAAAAATATAAAATACATCTCCTCAAATTTGGGGTTTTTGGTTGGCTTATTTGTTTGGTTTGTAAGAATTCCAAAGATGCAAAAACAGATTACAAATTTCTTTCTTAATGTTACAATAAATAATGAGTATTAAAAATAAAACTGAAAACTCAGAAAGTAAAATACAGGGTTATCTCAGCTCTACATTAACATAATGACACTTGAAATGGGCAAATGGAATATAATTTCATTTACAATATTTGCTTCTGCCAAAGAGAAAGAAAGAAAAAAGACAGGGAAAGAAACACTGATTAATTCTGAAAAAGAAGTATGTTGAGGATTTATACTGTGTAAACTATGTAATAATAATGAGATACCCTATGTGTCCAGACTGGAAGTCTCTTGAGTAAAGATGCATATTTTCTCCAAACGGATTTGTATATTGCAATTCTAATTAAAATCTCAACAAGATTTCTAGTATACATAAACAGGCTAGGTCTAAAATGTATATGAATAGGAAAAGAAACTAGGAAGAGTCAAAACAATTTTGAGAAACAAGAGTAAAGTCAGAGGAGCCAAACAATTCAATAGTGTGGCTCTAAAAGAGTAACAGATACTCTTATGTAATAAAAATGTGTGTATCTTCACTTGTTGTTGTTGTTGTTGTTAGGTGCCATCGAGTCGTTTGCAACTCATAGTGACCCTATGTACAAGAGCCCTAAACGCCGTTCTATCCTCTGTCAACCTCGCTGTCTCAACCACATTCATTCCCACGAATACATGCACAGAATCGAACCATCTCATCGAGGGTCTTCCTCTCCTGTGCCTCCACTCTCCCAAACATGATGTCCCTCTCCAAGGACCAGTTCCTCCTTGCAACACGACCAAAGTATGTCAGACGAAGCTTCAGAATCCTTGACTCCAGGAAACATTCTGGCTACACCCTCTCCAAGACAAACCTGTTTGTTCTCCTAGCAGTCCATGGTATATTCAACACTCTTCTCCAGCACCACAGTTCAAAGGCATCAATACTCTTTCTATCATCCCTATTGACTGTCCAACTCTCACGTAACTGCAAAGACTATAGCCTGGATCAGGCGCACCTTAGTCTCCAGCCTGACTTCGTTGTAGTTCAGTACTCTTGAGAGGTCCCTCACAGCTGACTTTCCCTATACAATTTGTCTCCTGATTTCCTGGCTGCTGTTACCAAGAGTGTTGACTGTGGAGCCAAGTAAACTAAAACTGTTAACTATCTCAATCTCTTCACCATCCATACTGATGCTGCCAATTGGCCCAGTGGTGAGAATCTTTGTTTTCTTTATATTGAGCTTCAATCCATATTGAAGACTGCAGTCCTTGACCTTCTGCAGCAAGCGCTTCAGGTCCTCCTCAGTGAGCAGGGTTATATCATCTGCATAATGCAGGTTTTTGATGATTTTCCCACCAATCCTGATGCCATATTCCTCCTCGTACAGCCCAGCATCTCGGATAACCTGTTCTGCATACAGATTGAAAAGGAATGGAGACAAAATACATCCCTGACAGACCCTTTTTTTGATTTTGAACCATCCAGTGTCTCCCTGCCCCGTTAAGATGACTGCCTCTTGGTCCAAGTATAGGTTTTTCATTAGCATAATCAAATGTTCTGGAATTCCCATTCTTCTCAGAGTCAGCCATAGCTTACTGTGATCCACATAGTCAAAAGCCTTTGCATAGTCAAGGAAGCACAGATAGACATTCTTCTGGTATTTTTTGTTTTCTGCCAAGACCCGTCTAACAATAGTTATAATATCCCTAGTCCCACGACCTCTTCTAAATCCAGACTGCACACCTGGCAGTTCTCTGCTGACATACTGTTCCAAAAGTTTTTGGCTAATTTTCAGCAGAATCTTGCTTGCATGTGATATCAATGATATTGTTTGATAATTTCCACACTCTGTGATAATATGGTATCACAGTTCTGTAAGATGCTATTACTGGGGCAAAATGTGGAAAAGACAGATTAGTCTTAGAACTGTATGCATATTTACTCTAATTTAAAAATAAATATACTTTAAAAATACTGATAACTTTAAGTGCTGACAAGAAGATAAACGATAATTTTTTTTTTAATTTGGAAAGAAAAGGAGGAAGGAGAAAGAACTTTGGAAACAATATAAAGAGGGGGACTGCTACAAGAAGAAGAACACTCCAACAATTGAGGAAAAATGGGTATCTTTTTCAAATGAACTGGACAATTTTTATTTACTTTTTTATTTTTTGCTCCCCTCTCCGGGGCTTCTCATTTCTGCTGACCCACTAAGTTTTATTCCGTGTATGAACTTTTCCTTAGTTTTTTTCTGTTTAATACTCCTATGTCAACTGTTCTTTTGTAACTGATTCATGTCTCTCAACATAATTTGTCCTAATCCTATTCATATTGGAAGTAGTTACAAATTTCTGATTAGTCTTTAGTTATTCATAACTTCTTTTTTTTTAATTCATAACTTCTTAAGTCATTTGTCCACGGATGGGCAATTGGCTTGTTCCCAAATCTTTGTTTTTGTAAACAGTGTTGTAATAAAAATAGGTCTCCACATACCAGCTGTGGTGCAGCTTTTATTTCTTTGAAACATATACTTAGTAGTGGGATTGCTGGACCAAATGTTATTTCTATTCCAAACTTTCTAAGGAATCACCATAGCCCTTCCACAGA